TGCACACATAAGTTAGGTACCCACGGCACAATTTCACCTGTCGGCTTATCTTCATGAGCGAAGATGCTAGTCCAGAGGTCACCTCAACCTCCAAGGTCGAAACCACAGCGGACCGCAACTGAAAATGCACTCAATTCGACGATCGCAAATGGATCTCCAGCGACGCCATCGACGCCGTCGGATGCAAATGTGGAGGTCGGCGGCGCCGGCGGCCAAGGCGGCGGCAAACGTGGAGGCGGCAACGAGGTGAATGATTTTGTTGCCGAAGGAGCTGAAGGAGGTAAGGCAGGGAACTGTGCTTTTTCTGAACCGTGTGGAATATTTGAGCTAGGTTCCAAGGAAAACCAGATAGATAAAATAAAAGAAGTGGCTGGTGCTGTCGCACGAGCCCCCCAACTGAGCTCACTTGCAACAGATTCCACAGAGGATGAGGCTCCCAAAATTAGGAGGCTCAGTAGTGATGCCTATAAACTGTGGGGCTCAAGGTCTTCAAACACGAGCCCTGATCCGTATGTACCAAACTTGGACAGAAACTCGTGCAAGGGTGGTCCGAGCAACCCAATCTGTGACACTGATGTGAAAGACGGGGAAATGGGTGTACAGTGCTGCACGTGTGATCGCTGGTTCCATTCTAAGTGTCAAGGCATTTCAAAGCAGTGCTACAATGCCCTTGTGAAGCACAAGGTGTTATCTTGGCATTGTTCTGCCTGTAAACAAGGCCTCAAAACTAAGGGCAAGAGTGATGAGGACAACAGACTTTCTAAACTGGAGTCAAAGCTTGATGCATTGATTGATTTCATGCAAACAGCATTTGCAAAGATTGATGCCAACAGTCACCACGAGCACTGTGAGACACAGAGTGGTGTCAAGCAGCTGAAAGATCATGTAGATGAACGAATGGAAAAGGTGGAGAAGGTCATGCGTGCTCATGCCAAACTCATCGGAGATCAGGAGACAATGTTACAGCACTCCTTCAAGAAAATCCAGGATGATAGGGCGTCCTACGCAGAGGCCGTCAAGGGCAGCGCTGAGGTGATGCAAAAAGCAGCCAAAAAGTTTGAAGCGATTCCATCGCAAGGGAAGGAGAATACCAGCTTCTGCACTGAGAAGGCAATAGCAGGTGTCTTTGATGACTTCTTAGAAAAAGAGAAGCGCAAGCTGAATGTGGTAGTGCATAACCTCCCGGAGCCAACAAGTGAGTTGTATGCTGAACGAGTGGAAGCAGACAAAGAAAAGTTTAGGGAGGTAATCCGTGATGCTATGCATCTCAATGTGAGAGTAACAAAGGCATACAGGGTCGGCAAGCCGGGTCAGGAGAAGCCACGGCTGTTGATAGTGGGACTTGAAAACACTGAGGTTAAAAGTGACGTGCTAAAACTGGCGCCTCAACTACGGTCGACAGATCTCTGGAAAAATGTATACCTTTCACCTGACCTTACCTGGAAAGAGAGGGAAGAGGGTAGACGCCTCCGAGAGGAGCTACGAAGGAGGACAGATGCAGGTGAAGTGAACCTCACCATCAGGAAGGGTCGGCTTGTGACAAGAAAACTGGACCTGACTCGGACAGTGGAAGCCGAACTCGTTCGGAGTGGGCCACAAGGTGCGGTAGCACCCCAGCAACATGCTGCATCTCAGAGGCGGACCTTGGCAACCCCAGCGACGGCCCAGACGGGCCAGACCCCGGATCAGGAAAGGTGCTGACAATCCAGGCCGGCAGGACCAAGATATGAAGAAGGTCTCAAGGTACTGTATGCAAATGCAGACCAGTTTGTGAAGAAACGTGATGACCTTTGCATGTTTATTTCGGGAAACGAACCAGACTTCATCTTACTTAATGAAGTCATACCTAAAGCCCAACTCCACCCAATATCCCCAGCCCTTTTGTCTGTACCTGGCTACGTCATGTATCTGAACTTTGACCCCTCGGAAACCAAGCTGGGCTCAAGTGGTATTAGAGGGGTCTGCATTTATGCCAAATCATCACTCCGGGTATCTGAAGTTGTTTTTAAGGATTCAACATTCAGAGAGCAGCTTTGGATAGAAATGCCGCTGGCTAGCTCTGATGTCCTTCTACTTGGCTGTATTTATCGAAGCCCCTCTGGTTCTGCCGAAGAAGATCTAAACAAGATTGGATCTCTATTCAAGCAGGCTACCAGCTCTAGATATACACATGTAATTATTGCAGGCGATTTTAATCTGCCGCAGATCAACTGGCAAGTGGGTCTTTCCTCAGCCCCTCCCTCGCACTGTTCACATGGGTTTGCTGACCTGTTGAACGATGCATTTCTCTACCAGCATGTTGACAAGCCTACCAGATTTAGGCTCGGTGAAACACCCCACACGCTTGATTTAATCTTGTCATCTGAAGAGGCCATGGTTAAGAACTTGGAATATCTGCCTGGCTTGGGGACAAGCGACCACATCATGCTCCAGTTCCAAGTGGCATGCTACTGTCCTCCCACTGAGTCTTTGGAGCGCCACCTCAGTTTCAACAAGGGTAACTTCACACTGCTCAACCAATTAATGTCTGAAGTAGAGTGGCCATCAAGTACGTCTCTAGATTCGCACGCCATGTACGATTTTATCAAGGCCAAACTCTTGGAACACTCTACCACTTGCATACCCTTTACCAAGTCAAAACGGAAAAACAAGAATATCTACATTAATGACGAAGCCATTCGGTTAAAGAAGCAAAAACGGACACTGTGGCTGCAGTACATGCAAACCAGAGACACGATCGACTATGCCCGATTCTGTCGTGCGCGCAACAAGCTCCGAACACTCACTCGGAACCTGCGGGCGAATTTCGAGAGACATCTGGCGACGAATCTACGAACGAACGCTAAAGGGTTCTGGCGGTATGCAGGCACTCGACTACGGACCAAGACTAGAGTGGAGGACTTGAAAGCAGAGGACGGAACGATGATTCGTGGGGATCGTGATAAGGCTAACCTGCTCAATCACTTCTTCCACAGCGTGTTCACGACCGAGGACCCCGTTCTGCCGGCACCACCACCTGTTTACCCTGGACCCCCACTGACCAACATTAATATCAGCACTGGTGCGGTCAGGGAGAAACTGCTGAACCTAAAGATAGACAGCTCTCAGGGACCGGACGGACTGCATCCTCGCATCCTGCGGGAAACGGCACTGGTTATGGCAGAACCATGGGCGCGCCTCTTCCGTTCTTCATTGAACAACTCCACCTTACCAAGCGACTGGCGCAGGGATGAGATCGTCCCCATTTTTAAGAAGGGAGTGAAGGACAGCCCTGCAAATTACCGACCAGTGACATTGACGGCCGTGCCATGCAAGGTCCTTGAATCATTGGTTCGTGACCAGATGATGACGTTCCTCATCGATACTGATCAGCTGAGCAACCTGCAACATGGCTTCAGACAGAAGAGGTCGTGTTCTACGCAGCTTCTTGAAACTGTTGAAGATTGGACCCGTGCTCTGGAGGAAGGAGACCCGGTCGATGCCCTGTACTTGGACTTTAGTAAGGCGTTCAATTCGGTACCCCACCAGCGCCTACTGTTGAAGCTCCAATCTTGTGGTATTGGGGGTCGCCTACTCGAGTGGATCAGGGCATTCCTTACTGACCGACAGCAGCGCGTGACAATTAATGGTACAAAGTCGGACTGGGTTTCATTACCAGCGGCGTACCACAGGGGACGGTTCTAGGTCCCTTGTTGTTCCTGGTCTTTGTTAATGACTTGCCGGCCTGTGTCTCATCAGGGCTTAAGCTATTCGCAGACGACACAAAACTCTATAGAAGTGTCGGTCAGGCTGCGGATACTGTAACCTTGCAGAGAGACCTCGACGCTCTGCTGAGATGGTCCGAAAACTGGCAGCTTCCCTTCAACCAGTCGAAGTGCAAGTCCCTGCACCTGGGTCTTCGAAACGCCAATCATATATACCACATGGGAGACACCCAGTTAGAACAGACTTTGGTGGAAAAGGACCTGGGAGTCAAGATAGACAGCCAGCTCAAGTTTCGGGAACAGGCCGCCGCTGTCATAGCCAGAGCGTCGCACATCCTGACTGTCATCCGACGATCTTTCGGAGTCATTGACGAGATTACACTTCCAATGCTCTACCGGACTATGGTTCGCCCCCACCTTGAGTACGCCAACGTGGTGTGGGGACCTTTCAACCGAGAAGATCAGAAGCGCATTGAGCGTGTACAGCGGAGAGCCACGAGACTGGTTGCCAGCATCCGCCACTTGCCATACGAGGAGAGACTTCGGAGCCTGGACTTGCCATCGCTCTACTATCGGCGCCGACGGGGCGACATGATCTCGGTCTACCAGGTGCTTCGACGGGGAGTGGATGTTGACCCATCCCAATTCTTTACCGCGGCAACAACGACCAGAACTCGGGGACACGAGTGGAAACTGTCCAAACCAAGAGCTGTCTCCAGGGTGCGGCGGAACGCCTTCAGCATACGAGTCCTAAACGACTGGAACTCTCTGCCCCCTGCTGTGGTCGATGCGCCCTCTGTCAACAGTTTCAAGGCCAGGCTTGACAAACACTGGGCTCACGCCAAGTACACCTTACACTTCAACGACTGATGCAGTGACACACTGACACATAGCTCGTCACGTCCGGATCCAAGAGGCCGTAAGGCCTTCCTAAATTCCGCATACTATAAGTATAAGTAAGTAAGTATAAAAATGGGAACGTTCCTATATTTGGGTACTCATGACCATAGTTCCGCCTACTGAGTTAATTATGAGCACAAAATGACCTTAGTAGCCCAAAAGCCCCAATTAACAAACAAAAACAGTTTAAAAGCAAGCTCAGTTTGCCTAATCCCTTAAGCTTGTATAACAGAATAACATTCATCTTGATCTGAAGAAAATAGCAAAGACATTGCCGAAAAATCAGGACGATCCTTTGTTCATCCATTGGTCCGCCAAGGACCCTACCCTGACCCATTGCCAGCCATTGCCGTAGCCAGAAAAGGAATAATGCATTAGGGTTGTGAAAGAGCTCACCGATATACAGACTCAGTCAGCGACAAGAAAATGCTTGTGCTTGAATTAGACGAGACCACACATTCCAAAACATCAAAAATCTCAAAAAAAAAATATATCCCAAAACCGTCTGCCATTCAACAATTCGTCATCGCCTTGCACAACACAAGTCAAAAGAGGTAAGTGCGCGTGCAAAAATGTTATTATTTGTAAAAGAGAAAAGAATTTGATGACATCATGAATGCTGTAGCTTCTTTCAAATAGATTTTATTTTGACTTATAATTTGTCAATTTTTCTACAAATTTGTGCCTTCCATTATTGTAGTCGTATCTTCAAATTGATATGGTATGCATGCCATGAGGCATGATCTCATTCAAAAGTTGCGTTCAAAGTATTTATCCATAAGATTTTATGACGTCAATAAATGGAATTGAAATAAATTTTAACAATAGAAAAGCTGAAAATAATTACGACATATATAGCGCAGTACTTTTTATTTGAAGTAAGTATAGACTACTAAATTGTAGCTCTTAGTCTACACGTATGTAATTGTAGCTCAGCATATTTTTTTAAGTCGTTTTTCGGACTCCGGTAGTCATAGACGGCAGAATGTGGGGGGTGGCATCGGGGCATCGTGGACATCTCTTGATTCTGGCATTTTAACATTAGCTCTGTGGGCGTTGCGCGTTGCATGGAAAGAATGCAATCAAAAGTCGGCAGTGCCAGTGCCCCCTCCCCCACGAGCCGCTTGGGGGGCATAAAGTTGCCCCTCCTTTACGTTTTGTAGAATATAATATACGAAACCTGATAAGCTACGAACGTGAAACCTGGCATAGCTTGAGGAAAGTTTGAGGAAAGTTTGGTGGTTTGTAGCACTTAAGATGATGTCACAGTGGACAGTGGCGTCATAAAAACATACATACATACATACATAGTACATACATACATACATACATACAAAGTTTTGTCGTTTTCCGATATGGACCGTTTCTGGTGTCGCTGAGCATGAAACTAAACTAAATGAACTAGATAGCACCTGCTGTCATCCTAAAACATCTAAGTAGACTTCCAACTACTTCTAACCAATAATCGGTCCTATATATTCGGTCTCATATATCGGATATAGGTATCGTGAGGGTTGAGGAAACTGAAAGTCGCAAATCTATAATTTGACTTCTGACGTCACTTTGACGTCATTTCAAGTGGCATCAACACCAAATTTGGGCACAACCTCGGCTAGGTATTCAGGAAGATGTGTGCAAAGTTTTGCATCTCTATCTCTTCGCGTTGCGACGATATCGTCGCAGAAGTAAAGGGGGGCAACTATATGCCCCCCCCCCCCCCTCCAGCGGCCGGCGGGTGGCGTGGAGGCCCAGCGGCCGCCAGAAGGTGTTCCGCTGCTACTGCCAGTAGTGCCCAGTAAGTAGGTGCAATCTACTTACATACCTAACACACGTCTTGTGAAACATTGGTAGATATATTTCGTAGGTAATTAATGCATTGGCCTGCAACGGCAATAGGCAGAAAAAAAAACACTTATGGTTGCGTCAACTTGCGTCATGTAATAAATTTACCTATGTCCGTGGTCAAACGCACGAAGAGCACATACCTATGCCTATAGGATCCCCCCTATAGGTATGCCTAGGTATAGGATACCTATAGGATCCCTCAGCATTGCATAAAGAGATTCGCACCCTAAAGAAAATACATGTTCATAGTCTTTGAAAACTTCACGCTCACAAATTACACTTTTCCAAGCCACCTTGCCGACCTGAATGTATGGTGATAGTCTTCATCGGACATGAATGCGTAAAACGCATAAAACGCACGAGCAAAGTGGGCTCTAAAAAAAAACTCCATTCCGTCACAAGCTCCCTCACATTTCCATCACTGACTCACTCCCACATTTACAGCATCTGCGATGCTGGGCTCCGCATCGCGGGACCGCAGGTTGTTTGAGCAAGCACCTCTGTAACGCCGCAAAAACGCCCGCCGCCAAACGAGAGGATGAGCCTTGCACGTGCAGCCCGGAGCGGGTGTGTCACGAACTGACGTGCACTGCACTCTACTAACCGGTCTCTAGCGGTTTGCCAAATTTGAGTGCAATCGACCCGGCCGTTTTCGAGATCTGGAAGTGACACCCTGCACGTGCGCACATGCAACCTGGGTCCCAATTGACTTGTGCAAGGCACTCTATTCGCCGGTTTCTAGCGATGTACCAAATTTAATCTGAATCGGCCCAGCCGTTTCCAAGATCGGGAAACGACCCCTACTCGTGCGCACGTGCAGCTGCACCCCAACCGTGGCACATGAAAATACATACTAACTGACTTGTGCACGGCACACTACTAACCAGTCTCTAGCGGTATGCCAATTTTGAGCACAGTCGGCCCAGCCGTTCTTGAGATCTGGAAGCGTCAGCCTGCACGTGCGCACGTGCATAACGGGTCCCATCTGACTTGTGCACGGCACCCTACTAACCAGCCTCTAGCGGTGTGCCAAGTTTGATCACAATCGGCCCAGCCGTTCTCGAGATCTGGAAGCGTCACCCTGCCCGTGCGCACGTGCAGCGGCACCCCAACCGTGACACATGGAAATGCATTGCCGGGTGCGTGCCAACATCCATGCAAAGTACCAGCGCAATCGGCAAACTAACTACAGAGCTATTAGACTTGTTACTGAACTGACTTCTCATCGTTTTGCACGTGGCACGTGCATTAGGGGTCACCCATACGCATCGAGAATAGCACACTACGTGTAAGAAAGGAAGAAGCTATCCCACACAAAAGACCGCGAGTGAATTGGTCAAGTAGTTGTGGAGATAGAAGCTTTACAAGGCGCCCCCAAGGCGGCCGAATGCTAATATTTAGCAATAATCAGTGTCGCATCCGCACACGGGAGGTATCCCCGTCACCTGTTCGTATACTCTAATGTGGTTGGGTTCAAGTCACAGTCGAGCCCTGATTTTTTACAGCTTTTCTTAAAAACGGCACATCGTGCAGTGACGTCCTATGCATCAGTGGAAAGAGCATCAAAAGTTGTATATTATATTAACTTTTCACCTATATATCTTACTAAAGATAAAAGTTATAGAGGAATAAAGACGCTCCCATTGACTTTCCATGTTAAAAATTTTAAATTTCAAATTAACTTTAAAAGAAAAAATGAGATTTGCCACCTTAACGAAGCATACCAGCAAGTACTATGCTCTTTCCTCTACAAGATATAAGAGTTTGGGCGAAATCTATCTCTAAAATTTTGTACAAAGATCGAATGAAAATGTCTCTGCAAAGTCTCGACATCGCCGTCCATTGACTTAACATGGGACACAGCAAAATTCCAACTTTGACCTCGAGCAAAGACACGTTACGAACTTCTGAGGGGTATACGGCGCACACTGGCGTGTACCGGAACGTGTTTGCCATAAAATGCTGGGAAGAAAACCACCTCTTTCTTGGCTCGTTTTTCCGCCATTCCCGATGGCGCAAAAAGTGTCCAAAACCCCATTGACTTAACATGGGGAAAATGGAATCGCACGTGCCACGTGCCACGAGGTTTTAAGCGAGTAGCGACCGGTGCCATAAGGTAGATCGCCTCCGGGAGCCCATACACTGAACTTTTTACGAAGATTGTACATTTCGTCTAGGCCCCGCTCAACTTGCCCCAATCTCAGGCCAACTTTGCAAAACATAGCCCGGTGAACGACTGCTCCGGTTGTTTTTCAATAGACCCAGCATCTGCGATGCTGGGCTCCGCATCGCGGGACCGCAGGTTGTTTGAGCAAGCACCTTTGTAAACGCAGCAAAAACGCCCGCCGCCAAACGAGAGGATGAGCCTTGCACGTGCAGACCGGAGTCGGTGTGCTATCTTGAAGCGACCCCTACACGTGCGCACGTGCAGCTGCACCCCAACCGTGGCACATGAAAATACCGTCCGTTAAACGTAAACACTGACGCATTAAGACCCTATTCGCCGGTCTATAGCGGTGTGCCAAATTTGAGTGCAATCGACCCGGCCGTTTTCGAGATCTGGAAGCGACACCCTGCACCTGCGCACGTGCAGCCTAGGTCCCAATTGACTTGTGCACGGCACTCTATTCGCCGGTTTATAGCGATGTACCAAATTTAATCGCATTCAGCCCAGCCGTTTCCAAGATCTGGAAACGACCCTTACACGTGCGCACGTGCAGATGCACCCCAACCGTGGCACATGAAAATACATACTTACTGACTTGTGCACGGCACCCTATTAACCAGTCTCTAGTGGTGTGCCAAATCTAAGCACAATCGGCCCAGCCGTTCTCGAGATCTGGAAGCGTCAGCCTGCACGTGCGCACGTGCAAAATGAATCCCATCTGACTTGTGCACGGCACCCTACTCGCCGATCCCTAACGGTGTGCCAACTTTGATCACAATCGGCCCAGCCGTTCTCGAGATCTGGAAGCGTCACCCTGCACGTGTGCACGTGCAATAGCACCCCAACCGTGAAACATGGAAATGCATTGCCGGATACGTGCCAACATCCATGCCAAGTACCAGCGCAATCGGCAAACTAACTACAGAGTTATTAGATTTGTTACTGAACTGACTTCTCCTCGTTTTGCACGTGGCACGTGCATTAGGGGTCACCCATACGCATCGAGAACAGCACACTACGTGTGAGAAAGGAAGAAGCTATCCCACACAAAAGACCGCGAGTGAATCGGTCCAATGGTTGCAGAGATATAAGGTTTGTAAAGGCGCCCCCACAGACGGCCTACTGCTAATATTTAGCAATAATCAGTGTCACATCCGCACACGGGAGGTATCCCCGTCACCTGTTCGTATCCTCTAATGTGGTTGGGTTCAAGTCACAGTCGAGCCCTGCTTTTTTACAGCTTTTCTTAGAAACGGCACATCGTGCAGTGACGTTCTATACATTGTTGGAAAGAGCATCGAAAGTTGTATATTTTATTAACTTTTCACTTTGATATATCTGCAACGTAAAAAGTTATTAAGCAACAAAGACGCTCCCATTGACTTTCCATGTTAAAAATTTTAATTTTCAAATGAACTTTATAAGAAAAAATGAGTTTTGCCAGCTTAACGAAGCATAATTGCATGTACTATGCTCTTTCCTCTACAAGATATAAGAGTTTGGACGAAATCTA